CGTCCTTGCTCCCAGTAAGGCCGGGAGCTACTAGTTGCGTCCTTGCTACCAGTAAGGCCGGGAGCTAGTAGTTGCGTCCTTGCTCCCAGTAGTAAGGCCGGGAGCTACTAGTTGCGTCCTTGCTCCCAGTAAGGCCGGGAGCTACTAGTTGCGTCCTTGCTCCCAGTAGTAAGGCCGGGAGCTACTAGTTGCGTCCTTGCTCCCAGTAGTAATGCCGGGAGCTACTAGTTGCGTCCTTGCTCCCAGTAGTAAGGCCGGGAGCTACTAGTTCTACTAGTTGCGTCCTTGCTCCCAGTAGTAAGGCCGGGAGCTACTAGTTCTACTAGTTGCGTCCTTGCTCCCAGTAGTAATGCCGGGAGCTACTAGTTCTACTAGTTGCGTCCTTGCTCCCAGTAGTAAGGCGGGGAGCTACTAGTTCTACTAGTTGCGTCCTTGCTCCCAGTAGTAAGGCCGGGAGCTACTAGTTCACATTGTCATTTGTCTCCCTGTGTCTACATTTGTCTCCCAGCTCTGGACTGCTGTGTCCGCCTCTGCCTTGCAATCCTTTACATGTGTCCTCGCAAGCCTTTGCATTTGTCTCCCAGCTCTAGACTGCTGTATCCACCTCTGCCTTGCAATCCTTTTTTTGTCACCCAGCTCCTCGTCCTCTCTCCGCTACAGGTGCAGCAGGGTCACCCTAATTCTGCGCGGGGGAAAGAACTTGTGCCCCGAAAGGGCGCGCAAGTTCTTTGACTTCTTCATGAGCCTGGACTTTGAGGCGGGCTGAACGCGCAGGAGGTGTTCTCAAAATAGATACGCCAATGTAATTACGTTGCTCTTGCCGCGGGGCTCGCATGGACGCCGTTGCGCCAGGGCGCGGACCCGGTGTTGAAGTCGAAGCGCACCCGAGGCTCGGAAATGTTAATCCTTTGGTTGTGCGTTTTGTATCTCTTTTGTGCCCTCGTTGCCAGGAGAGGCCGCGCCTGCACAGCGCGAAGGCGGACGATGACTACATTCAATTTGCTTTGATCGTCCCTGCGCCTGCCCTTTTCTATCCTTCGATGATTTTGGTAATGAAGCGCTTGCTCGGTGAAGGTGATGTGGGGGACACCTTTTCAACAGAGCTGGAGGCGGAGCTCGACAGGATTTTGGCTGAAGATGCAGGCTCGGGTCGTTTGGCGTGGTCTTGCGGCTTCACATTCTCAATTTGAATGACGCGCGCGTTGACGATGGCCAGGCGCCAGCGAGGACTCAGAAGGTGAAGAGGCAGCGCTGCAAGCCGGCCTTGGTGTCTGCCTCTCAACACAGGCCCGTCAAGCTTCTTGTTTAATCGCAATGCATTCCTTTCGAGGCAAGCCTGCCAAACGATGTCAAACGGGGCTTTTTTACAGCGCCATTCTTGCATTGTTCATTTTTGGGCTGCTCCTCGCCTCGCCAGCGTATCCTTATCGATGCAGGTTGCAGAAGCACCGCCGACACCGACTTCGGTGGGGCGGCCCTGGAAGCTAGTAAACAAACGACAAGAACAAATTGTAGACTCTAGACAGAGCACGTGGAAGAGTACTTGCGCTTCAGGTGGTGAGTGGCACGCTGAGCCGCAACAGCTGCCACAACACCACTGAGTACGCCGGCTCTGGCACCCCTAGTAGCTTCTTCTTCCTAGTAGTAAGGCCCTTGCTCCTAGCAGTGAGGCCATGAGCCCCTAGCAGCTTCTTGTTCCTAGTAGTAAGGCCCTTGCTCCTAGTAGTAAGGCCAGGAGCCCCTAGTAGCTTCTTGTTCCTGGTAGTAGGGCCCTTGCTCCTAGTAGTAAGGCCAGGAGCCCCTAGTAGCTTCTTGTTCCTTCCTCCCCTCCTCCTCCTCCTCATCCTCCTCATCCGTCATCATCATACATACATACATACATACATACATACATACATACATGCATGCATACATGCATACATACATACATCCTTTTTTCCCCAGATATCTGGAAGCTATAGGGGTTCTTACTTCTCAATGGATGGGTTCCTGATTGCGGAAATTGGCTGCCGATGCCGCGCCGCCTTGTCTCCCTTCATGATTTCGCTCTTGGCTGCCGCTGCCGCCTTGTCTGTGAAGCTTGTTTCCCTTCATGATTCGCTTTTGGCTGCTGCTGCCGCCGTGTCTCCCAAGCTTGTCTCCCTTCAAGATTTCGCTTTTGGCTGCCGCTGCCGCCTTGTCTCCCAAGCTTGTCTTTCTTCATACTTTCGCTCTTGGCTGCCGCTGCCGCCTTGTCTCCCAAGCTTGTCTTCCTTCATGATTTCGCTCTTGGCTTCCGCTGCCGCCTTGTCTCCCAAGTTTGTCTCTGTTCATGATTTCGCTCTTGGCTGCCGCTGCCGCCTTGTTATTTTCTTGTTGCCTTTGACGTGGGTGCTGTTATGCGATTTAGGTTTTTGAGTGGGATTGTGTGCCTTGCGTCGCTTGCATCTTTCATGTGGCAAACTAAGCATTGTTACTTTCGGCAGGAAACACACCGTTTCAGTGAGAACGCACAGGCGTTCTGAAAGGTTTGCACATGACCACATGCGCCCACTTGCACACTTGGGCTGTTGAAATAACCCCGTGCTCAGCAGTTTAGCATTGGCGTGCGCCTTAACACTACTTTTGCATTGCCGGCCCAGAAAACGATAACAGTATAAAAACGATAACGAGTTTGTACAGGATGCTATCTGGGGTCTATGCCGGTATAATTTGTTCCTTGTATAGCTGCTACCTAGCATCCTTGACTGTCTACATGCCTTCTTTAGTTGCGATGCTTGCAAGTTGTTTGATGTGGACATCACCGTCAAAGATAGTGACACTTGAGTGCATCACCGGGACAAGACCGGCCAAGCCAGTGATGGAGGCAAAATCAAGGGCATCAACGAAGGGTACGCCATCCTGGAGCCGTATGCAAAGCAGATGAGCCAGCAGGCAGCTTCGGCAGACCGGAACCGCCAGTTGAAGTGCGCGTAGTTGCTGGACAATTTCTGTGAAGGAGGACTTGATTGCACCCAGTGCGTTGCACTAGCGGAGAGCGTGTTTGGCTGTAGCGGGTGTCATTCAGGAAAGACACACAGGGCGTCTTGCAGTCTCGGCAAGAGGTTCTCTCTTGTGGAATCGGATTTGAAGCCCGCTTACTACCAGATCTGTGCGCATGAGGGCGTGGAAAAAGCGATTGCTTGGCTGAAGAAGCCGGGAGGAACGATGCCATGAAAGACCTGGCAGCTGCGCTCAAGAAGGAGGAGGAAGCAACCGCCAAAAAGGCTGAACTGCACACACTGAAGGGCATCAAGGCGGCAGAGTACAAGAAGCGCCTGGAGAACTCACCCCATGCTCATTTGATGAAAAAGGCCAAGTTCTACGCCAGTCCAGCGGCCTATCCTCATGGGGATCCATGCCCTGAGTGCGAGAAGCATGGGCGAGAAGGAAAAATCGAGCAAAAGGTAAGCAAAGATGGAAAGCCATATGCCACATGTTCCACGTTCACTCCAGGTGCCAAAAAGCAAATTTGCGGCTTCTTCAGGAACTTGATGGAGTGGATCAGGTGCTCGAAATTTGACATTTGGCATCGAATCAAAATGAAGCCAAATCACTGGGGGCCGGGGTTGGTCGGGACGTTGTTTGGTGTGGAGCTGAAAGGACAATGACCTCATCAGAGCGAGTGTCATCGGCCAGTGCTGGTGGTGGGGTACGCGATCTGGCTCGGGGGTAGGGATTGGTAGGAGCTGGGAGGCACAGGGGATGAAGCGGGGTCCGGGTGGACGGGGGAGGAGGTAGTTGGTGCCATTGACAGATTGCTTTCAAGGTCAGCTGCAGCGATCGGCGAAGGAACTGCAAAGTCATATTGTTGGAGCATCGTGGTAAAGGCTTGGCGAGCGTCTGGTGTAAGAGCGGCAACGGCTTGGAGGGCTTGATTCCAAAGGTCCAATGGGGTCCTCTTCACACGCAGCTGCCAGAATAGCTTCTTCCACAGGTAAGTGATCATCTTGCTCCGGAAGCACCACACCATGTTCATGGCCACTTGTTGCTAGTAGCGATGCACTTGTTCCTAGTAGCTTCTTGTTACTACGACGTCTTGGAGAAGGTCTGTGCGACAGGAATGGTGGAGGTTGAAGGTACGGTGCCGGGAGGGGTCCTGGCACTGCGGCACGAATACGAACGCTGGGAGGTTCCACGGAATGTCAAAAAAGCAGTTGAACGGTCCTCCAGGCGCGAGCTGCAGGGAGCGACGGTATCCGGGACATTGCCCTGCCAAAGGAGGCAAAGTTGGAGAAGTACTTCAGCCTGGCGCTAAACCTGTTGCAACAAGCAAACAGATTTGCGCGTGAGTTTCTTGGAGTCTTATCTTCATCATTTTCGCCGCTACAGGACGATCTCTCCCCCATGGAGACAGAAGTCACGCCTGCCAGCGCCTGATGCACAAAGAAAAACACAACTGGCGCGAAATAGCTGGCAACAAAAAAGATGCGCGCGCGCTTAAGGAATCCGTCGTGGGCAGGAGCTACTAGTTGCGTCCTTGCCCCCAGTAGTAAGGCCAGGAGCTACTAGTTGCGTCCTTGCTCCCAGGAGCTACTAGTTGCGTTCTTGCTCCCAGTAGTAAGGCCAGGAGCTGCGTCCTTGCTCCTAGTAGCAAGCTTCCAGTCATAAGGGCAGGAGCTACTAGTTGGCATCCTTGCTCCTAGTAGTAAGGCCAGGCGCTACTAGTAGCATCCTTGCCTTTAGTAGTAAGGCCATAGTTGAGTCCTGTCCTTGTCATACTCCATGGCCGGTTCCTCCTTCACATACTGAGAAGGTTGTTGGCGATAAAGGAAGACTGGAGGCCCAAGTCTCTCACAAGGCCATTGGTAGTAGGATGGAGGCCATTGCTATTAGTAGGCGCCTACTTAATTAAGCAGGGAGGAGGGGGGCGGGCCAAAAGAAAAGGAATAAAAAGGTCGAGTCTTCCGCCTTGCGGTCTCAACCAGGAAGCCGTTGAGCTTGTCGAGTCGGAGCAGCTTCGAGCAGTGGCCTGGCGGAGTTCGGGGTCGTGCGTTTTGTGGACATAGCAGGTGTGGAAAATGTTTGACGTGAAGGGTATCAAGGTCTGATTCGATCCAAAAGCCATTTGGCGAAGTTGGAGCAAGTAGGAAATAGCAGGCTTTACCACCTCGCAAAGCATTCATTTCAATGGATATAGAATAATGACGGTTTTGCAGTGACCTGTACTACAAATTGTGAGGGAGATGCGATTGACCTTTGTTGGCTATTGGCGGGAATCAACACCTTCTCAAACCACTGGCAATATTGTCTTGGTCCTCTACACCAACAACAAGATCCCCATAGGCCTCCTGAGGATGGGTTTCGCGTTCCAAGTTCTCCCTGTTTGAATAATCTTTGAAACTGCAGTGCATTCTCAGGGTGGTCTAGACTGGAAAACTGGTTGGTGGTTTTTGTCTTAGCAATTTATTAATTCAATTTTTCACACCTAGAATGACTTTTCTGCTCTGTATGGCCCATTTTGGGAGGATCGTGCGTGTCACGCACTTCTCTGGCGGGCGGTTGCGGTGGTGTCGCCACCATCGCCTCAGGATTCGCACTTCAGTCCCCTACTGCCGCCGCAGGCGCGAGGCCATGAGGCCAAACCCACAAGAAATGTGAACGGTCACTCTGTCAATGTCTCGAAACTTGGGCGGTGCCAAAAGAACGAATGCAAAAGTTGCGATAAAGAACCCCTGTAGAGGACAGAGTACTTTATGGATTGACATTTCACTTGAAAAACAACCAATCAGTTACCTGTCAATGCAACAAACACCCCTTTTTTAACGCACTGGCGAGATGAAAGTTGCGCTTGTTGACGCTGAAACTCATGACAACCCTGTCCTGTTAGAATCCGATACCATGAGACAAGGGAAGGTGTGGGCGGTCGTCATTTGTCACTGCTGGCCATGCAGCATTTCCATTCATTTGTCTCCCAGGTCTGTCAACTGCTGGTGTCCGCCCTTTTCCGCTGGCCATGAAGCATTTCTATTCATTTGTCTCCCAGGTTTGTCACTGCTGTCGCTCGCTGGCCATGTAGCATTTCTATGCATTTGTCTCCCAGGTCTGTCAGTGGTGGTGTCCGCCCTTTTTGGCTGGCCTTGTAGCATTTCTACTTTTGTCTCTCTTCTTATTGGTCATTGTGTCCGCCTTGTCTCCCTTGTCTCTGGTCTTGTCTCCCTTTGTTGGTCATTGCGTCTGCCTTCCGTCTCCTTTTGTCTCCCTTCTTGTTGGTCATTGCGCGGCGTCGTCCTGGAACACCTCATAGTCCTCACCCGCCATGAACTCTGTGCAGTCCTCGATGTCATCCTCCCGAACGTCGTCCTTCCGCCTTCACATGAGGGGCAGGGTAATGGGCGCGTGCATCCGCTGGTGAAGGGCTCCGAGATGTCCCCACACCAGAATGCGACCTCCTTGCCCAGCAACATGGCCAGCCAGCGATGGTTCTTCTTCCAGCAACCGCCTGCGATTGGATTGCTTGGCTCGAGCCCGAGCTTTGGCAATCTTGGCCATCCATCTGTTTCCTTTGGTTTCCCTTCTTGTCTCCCTTCTTGTTGGTCACTGTGTCCGCCTTCCTTCTTGTCTCCCTTCTTGCCGCCCTTTGTCTCCGGTCGCGTCCCCCTTCTTGTGGGTCACCGTGTCCGCCTTGTCTCCCTTCTGTTTCCTTTTGTCTCCCTTCTTGTTTGCCTCCCCTCTGTTTCCTTTTGTCTCCCTTCTTGTTGGTCATTGTGTCCGTCTTGTCTCCCTTTGTCTCCGGTCTTGTTTCCCTTCTTGGTGGTCATTGTGTCCGCCTTGTCTCCCTTCTCTTTCCTTTTGTCTCCCTTCTTGGCTCCGTTCTTGTCATTGTGTCCGTCTTGTCTTCCTTCTGTTTCCTTTTGTCTCCCTTCTTGTTGGGCACTGTGTCCGTCTTGTCTCCCTTCTGTTTCCTTTTGTCTCCCTTCTTGTTGACCATTGTGTCCGCCTTGTCTTTCTTCTGTTTCCTTTTGTCTCCCTTCTTGTCGATGTCTTAAACAGTGGACTTGGGAATGCTTCGTTGTTGTCCCACCTGTCTACGGTGGGGTAATTTGATTCGCTTGTTAGAGTGTACCACCCGCTTTACAAACCAACGGTGGTTTTTGGTTTTGCTTGTTCAGTTTCAGAACTTTCAGGAGCCATCCCATACTAGTGACTTGTTGCTGACCTTGGCTTCGAAAAGTTGCCTGCATGGTTGGGGAACCGCGTTTTCAGCGAACGTCTCCAGTCCTGGACTTTGCCGCAGCTCCCAGATCTGCAGACCTCAGGCGCGGAGAGAGAGGTTTGTATTGAGTAACAGACATGATGTGTATCTCAGGATAGTTTGCACGGTTGGTTCTCTGCGCGTGAACAATATGATATGACACATGTATAAAGTGTTGGACTTTAGACTATCAATCATGACTAGAAATGCTAGACCAGAAGCTTTCCATCGAGAGCATATTTGGTGAAGTTTTCTCTACATCAACTTTTGAAGTGCACTACCACCCAGAAACGTGACGAGAAGGAATGGCCAGCACCCTTAACAGCTAACTACCTCTTCCTTCGCAAATTAGTTTTCAGGGGGTGGGAGGGATAAATGCTGGGTTCCCGCACCTGGCTTGATTAGGGGTTGCAGGTGATCGACTAGTTTTTCTTGGGGTTTCACAGCTACATGGGAAGGTACATGGGATTATGTCTCGTTTTGGACTGGCACTTCATTGTTCACGAAAGCCTGCGCGCACGGTGACCAGCAACAGCACCAAAATGTTTTTTTTGCATCAGTAGATGCCCCTCCACACGCATAGGCAAAAAAACATCCTTTGGACCCGTGCCTCCCGGGAGTCTACACGCACCCCAAACTTTGAAAGGTTTGCCGGCGTGGGACCCCTTCGACATCCAGGCCAGGAGAGTGGATCTGGTGAGTTTGGGAACCCACATTGGAGAGAATGGTTATGGCAGATGATTTGCTGGTCAATTTCCGCTTCCCTACGTGCTGTCGCGCCTTGAGGAGAGAAAACCAGCAAACAAGCACAACAGCCCCGGCTGTACTTCATTGAACCTTGTGATGCTTCAACCCGCAGGACTAGCCTATGAGCAACGTAATCGGATTCCAGCTGCGGAGAGAAAGCTGTTTGCGGTGAAACTCGCAGTTGCCACAAAAGCTGTGGGGGGATTATAGGTCACTGGTTCAATGGCACAGCCCGCTCACAAAACGATTTGCAGAAATTCCTGCGCACGCCAGGTGGTTGAAACCACGCAGTGCGGCCCTCAGCTAGCTGAGGTATTGGAGAGGGTCATGAGTGGAATAGCTGTGAGCTGTAGTATTTCGGACCCAACAAACCCAAACAAACAATGTCCACACGCTGCGAAACTTAACAACTCCAATTCAAGCGCATCTTTCCACGACCAAGTTCTAGGGGTGCTTGGTCCCCGACGCAGCTGAGGCTAATCCCTGCACAGGACGGGAAAACATTAAAACGAAGAGGACGAAAAAGTAAACTTAGCGAGGCGAAGGCCACCAGCCACACGAATTCTCCTGCAGTGGGAGAGCTGAATTGACAATGCTGATTGCGATAAGAATTTGGGGCCTGGTCTTGTGATTGGTAGCGTCAAATCAGATTTTCACAGACAGACCTCTATGAAAACCCAATGGCCAGCTTCCTTGATACGCTTTGATTTGCAGGCTAATGAACCGACAGCCATTGGCAAAATCAACTTCATCAAAGCACTCCTTTATATATTTAAATATCCTTTCCACGTTGTGGTGACTGCACTCCGTTTGCATAGGGTTGGTTGCGTTTGCACAGCGTGGCAACTGCACGAAACTTGTTGTGATATGCAAGCTTGGCAACGCCACGCACAAGCTTCTCGAATGGCAATCGCCTTTTGAAGGTAGAGGCTGTTTTCCTGAGGCCAATTAAGTGGGCCCCCATTGGGGAGAGTCGCTTTAGAACGAGCCCCGGCATGGGCCTTACAGCCACGAAGTTCCGTTGAACAGATGTAATTTGATTTCCCATTCAAATTCCAGGCCTGCAAGCTTAAGGTGTGACTTTTTCGGGTGCGACGAGATTAGAAAAGCAATTTACGGTCGAGTTTGAGATGGTTGTTGTGGAAGTAATTCCGTCAATTGGAGAAGTTCATGGAAGCGATGATGGATAAAGTTCCGGACGGTGGATTTTATGTTTAGGTTTGAAGTGGTTTTGTAATTTTCCAAAGGTGATGCTTAATTGAATATATGAAAAGAATATGTTGCATGATAAATCGCCCCGGAATGTGGGAGGTTATATTGGGTTTAGGAAATATTTCGTTATAAACACTAATTAACAAGGCCTACTTTAATTATGTTCAGTGATCCTAGAACTTGAAACTTATGAAATCTTTGTTGATTTACGCGCCATGGTGGAATTTGAAAAAAATTGTTTTAATATTTATTTCTATTTAGATAGAATTTTCGGGTAAGGTTTGTAATCCTCGATGTATTCTGAGGGTGTATTCGGTATAATTAGGCGCGCTTATTGCGATGATTTGTTTAATATGTTGTTTTTTTATTGAAGAACAAATGTGTTATGTTTTTTTAGACGTGGCTTCGGGAAAAATTAAAATATTTTTTTTGGAATTTTAAAAATTAAACATATTTATTGAAATTAATAAGGATTTAATATGTTTAAAGTATTATTGGAAAATTAATAATTATTATATTGATATTTTATACATATTATGTATTATGTTATTTTATATTTATATATGTGAACATATATGCAGGTTAATTGATTCTCGTTATTTATAAATTTTAGATCGCCTAATTTAGGAGAAAAGGACGCGGTTTTATGTTCGCTTACGTGTTTTTATGGTAGCGGAACGGGGTTTAATAAATATATTCCGGGAGAAAGAGAAGATTTAGGGAAATGAAGAAAAGAAATTGAAGTGAAAAAGAAAAGAAGAAAATGGAGGTAGTAGTTGGTATTCATGGCCTAAGAAGCGGTTAAGACGCTGAAGGAAATTAAAGAAGGAAGAAAAGGCGGTGAAGGATTCGCCGCGGTTAGTAGAGTTATGAGATTATTTGAGGTCTTTGAGCCAAAGAATATGGAGGAAGAGTTGTCCTAATGGCAAAACTGGCGATTAGCTTTTAAGAGTTGGATTACGTTCGCCGAAGAAATATATAACAAGGAGCTCGAAACGATTGAAGGCTTCGAAAATGAAGTGAAGCTTTCGAGTATAACAATTAAAAAGAAAGGAAAGTTAGACTGGACGCTATTTTGGTTGGGTTTCTGAAGAACAGGTCGTTTAAATGGCTGAGGGCCATTGAAGCCCGCAATGGTTATGAGGGGTGGAGACACTTGAGTTACTAATTGGCTCCAAAGATAAGATCGAGATCGATCGTTTTATTGCAAGTTTTCCTTAATTTTACAAAGGGCAAAGGAATGATTATGTTGGAATAGTTGCTTGGTCTGGAGAGGTTGGCTGAAGAGTATGGTAAGGTGGGCAAGGACGGGATTGATGATAACATTAAATTGAGGGTGATGTTAGCTGTAGTTAGATAGTATCTATAAGTAGTTCTCGGGCAAGCCGGCGACGGAAGTTTCTTATAAGAAGAAATTAACTTATAGGAGGGTTTACATTCTCTTTAACATGCGCGTCCTCTAGTTAAATGCATGCGCTCCGGACTTGTGTTTTTTACGAGAGATGATATATATCCGGCCACTACGATTTGTTAAGGATGCGGTCCTAGTTGTATTGCGAAATTATTAGTCCTTAGTCTCTAGCTGCATAGATTGTTCCGCATATTGAAGTTTGTACTATAAAGGCGTTAAAGCTGTATTATAAAGATGCTAATTCTTAATTTCTAGCTTTACAGATTCCTTCGCGTATTAAAATTGTATTAGAAATCGCTAGTTCTCATTATTTAGCTCCACAGATGCTCCGCGAACTAAAGTTGCATTACGAAGTTACTAATTCTTAGCTTCTAGTTCTACAGATTGCTCCGCTTACTAGTTCTTAGCTTCTAGCTTTACAGATTGCTCCCCATACTAAAGTTGTATTAGAAAGTCGCTAGTTCTTAGCTTCTGACTTTATAAATTTCTTCGTATATTAGATTTTTCTTAGAAACTCGCTAGTTCTTAGTTTCTAGCTCTATAAATTGCTCCGCGTACTAAAGTTGCATTAGAAAGACGCTAATTCTTAGATATTCCCCGCATTAAAGTTTTCTATAAAGCCGCTAGTTCTTAGATTCTAGCTTCATAGATTGTATTGCGTATTTAAGTTGTATTAAAAGTCGGTAAACAAGCTCCACAGATAGTTCGCATCCTAGAGAGTTGAATTATAAAATCATTAGTTCTCGTCGCCCAGCTCGCCAGATAGTCCTCGTCTGCAGGTTCGCAAAGTGCGCTGTACCTGGTTGATAAAGTACGGCACTTGCGCACGAAATCTGCACATGGAGATTCACAAAGTACTGTGCCTGCTGGGAAATCTGCACATGAAGGTTCACAAACTACTGCAGCTGCCACGAATTCTGCACATGGAAGTGTATAAAGTGCTGCACTTGCCACGAAATCTGCACATGGAGGTTCATAAAGTGCCGCCCACCCCAATGAACGGACGATTCCGACCATGCCCCGAGACCGTCTCGCAACCGACCTTGACTTGCCAGCTTTGGACCTACGGATTCCATTGAAAAATACAGCATTTCGTACCGTCTTTGTCTCTCCACGACGATTTTGTATTATGCGTACCACGAAATCTGCATATGGGTAATCCCAAAGTGTTGTTCCTGCCACGAATTGTGCACATGGAGGCACACAAAGTGCTGCACCTGCCACGAAATCTGCACATGCAGGTTCACAAAATTCTGTACCTCCCACGAAATCTGCACTTCAAGAAATAAGTGAAAACTCTCATCCCAATGGATAACTCCATCTGCAGGTGCAGATTTCGTGGCACGTGCAGGACTTCGTGAAATTCCATGTGCAGATTTTGTGGCAGGTGCAGCATTTTCTAAACCTCCATTTGTAAATGTCGTGGAGGTATATGATGAGTGGTATATGATGAGTGGTGTTTTCTGACACTGGTGTGTAATGAGTGGTGTATGATGAGTGGTGAATGATGGGTGGTGTGATGAGTGGTATATGATGAGTGGTGGTTGAAGAGTTATTAAATGATAACTGTAAATAAGGGAGGACACGTTTTATAAGGAGGCCAGAGAAAAGATATTGGCCTGTGAAAGGACCACTACTTCATGGGTACTTCATGGGGAAGTTACGCAATCTATAAGGAATTGATAATTCCCAAGAACCACGGCAGAAACGATGAGGTGCAAATTTCGAAAGGCAAACAGAAAGGAAAAGGCTTCGGCAGTTGCGTTAATGTGGATTTTGAGGGCAAAGAGCAAGCAACACAAAGGAAAGGAAAGGCATAGCTGCTAAGGCAAGGGGCAAAGGTGTGTTCCTGAAAACTTAGAAATTTTGAAGACTATTGACGGTCACAACCTCAATGACGATTCCGAGCATGATCCGAGCATGACCCGAGACTGTCTCGCAACGGTCATTCCGTAGACCTTGACTTGCCAGCTTCTCAGCCACCGGTTCCATTGAAAAATACAGCATTTTCGTTCCTTCCCTGTCTCTCCACAACGCATTTTGTATTCCGGCTGCCCAGAATCCAAGGAAATCTGCACCTGGAGGTGCACAAAGTGCTGCACCTGCCATAAAATCGACACATGAAGGTTCAGAAAATGCTGCACGATGATGTCATGGCATTGGGAGTGACGAGCCCAGGAGATGATTTGCCGTTCTTGACGGAGGGAGGAAGTGCAGTTACCCAAGGCTCGTTTGGCAACAGCCTTGCAGACCGAATCTATTGGGAAGAGGAGGAGAATGAAGGCTGACAAAGGAGCAGAAAAAAGCAAGTTGGTGCTCAGGATGCCTTCGAAAGCGGAAACAAGTCCATGAGCAATATTTTCCACACCAGCCTCGGTGCTGGCATTGCATCGCTGGATGAGGCAGAAATGGTTACCATCTCACTGTGCCAAATACGCTTGAAGCAGAGGCAAAAGAAAAAATTCAAATTCTGTCACCTCGATGGACTTCTGTTCTAGTGTATGCAGAGGACTGTGGTCAAATTCTGGCCATCTATTCGATCGGTTCCATATTGCTGAATCTGGCCAGAACAACGAAATACATGTGCAAGATATAGTTTTTGAACGTTTCCAGGGAAACTTGTGGCCAATCCAATCAATTGATAATGCAGCCGACATATTCCGTTCAAAGAATGCTGCACTGACGCGATCTGACCGTTATGCCTCGTGTCGAAGGGGCAGCGATTTTGCTGGAATGCCTGATGGTGTTCTTGGGGTTCCCAAAATCATCTCATACACCCTCATCATGGACGACTGACGACACATCACACACCAGTCATCTCACAGCGCTCATACACCGCCTTTGGTTTCAACAGAATGCCCGAGCCTGATCCGAGCAATCAGCAGACCTTGACTTGCCAGAAGCCGCCGGTTCCATTTGTTCTGGCCACATTGAGCAATATGGAACCGATCGGATAGACGGCCAGAATTTGACCACAGTCTCTGCATACATGATAGGAAAAGGACAGAATTATCATTTGAGAGCACAAAGGTAGGTGCACGATCTTTGCACCTCATCGAAGTCCATGGAGATGACAGAGATTTTTCTTTTGCCTCTGGTTCAAGCGTATTTGGCAGTCAGATGGTACTCCAGGTGCAGATTTCTTGGCAGGCACAGCACTTTGGGAACCCCCATATGCAGATTTCGTGGCAGCCGAAATACAAAATGCGTTGTGGAGACATAGGGAAGGCACGAAATGCTGTGGCTCCGAAGCTGGCAAGTCAAGGTCTACGGAACGACGGTTGCGGGATGGTCTCGGGTCATGCTGGGATCTTGCTCGGAATCGTCCATCCATTGCGATTAGAGTTTTCACTTGCATATTGAACTGCAGATTTCGTGGCAGGTGCAGCACTTTGTGAACCTCCATGTGCAGAATTCCTGGCAGGCACAGCAGTTTGGGAACCTCCATGTGCAGGTTGCGCTGCAGGCGCAAT